CTTGTTCTCTGTTGTAAGGTTATTTTTATGTTGGCCAAGTGGGATTCCCTGTGGGCCAGCTGCTTTCTTAATTTGTCATCATTGCATTATTGTTTATATATACCGTTTTATGTAAACGTATATTTTGAGCTGTTTCTGATTCGAGAGGCAGTCAAAATTTGCGGTGGATGAAGTTTTGGGTTTTAAGTTTGTTTTTCCTGCTAAACTCAGTTAATCAGTACAAATATACTCGGAATAGTACACTGGATTTGCCATATCCGCTAGGCGTTATTTATCCTGTGAATGGCGGAGTCCATTTAGCCTTTAAATCACCTGGCCATTCATTACTGATGCGGTATGCTAAGATATCTTCGTTGGTTTTAAATTAACTAGTGTCTTGTAGTTTGATAGGACCATGTCCTTTCGCACTACGCAGACTATAACAGCTATGAACAACATCAGCTGAAGCATTCGCTGCTATCGTTTTGGCAGAATACTATGCTCATCCCGTCCGGGAAGATCTGAACCTGTGAGAGCTCTCAATTATTAGATGCGCATCTCATCAGCTTTATCTTCTTGGTGTGGGGAGAAGTCATAAATAAGTGAAACAGTAAAGGAATTTGTACCTAAAGTCACGTGGTTTTCCTATCTGTCGTCTTTACCAGTTGCTTACTATATGTTTTTGCCATTACTGGTTGATGGGATTGAAATTTTTATCAATTTTAATCCATGCGATTTACGAGTAAAGGCTGCCACAAATGGTGCCTGTCACGAAACTGTAACGGAGATCGCCATATGCATATGATTATTCACCCTTACCTTTTTTATCAGTGACGATAACCGATGATGTCAAAGCAGAATTAATGAAACGACTAAAATGCGGGAGCACATGATTGAGCAAATTACCGTGTATTGTATACTCTCGTGCAGGAACATCACTCGTGAATTTTTTTTATGAATCCTGAAATGGTTGGCAAAGGAGACAGTGGCACTCAAGGTCAGCATTACTCTTCACACTTTTAAATAGTTCTCTCTGGTAGGACGTTAGGAGTGAAAATCCCCATATCATTATTGGGCGGATGGGGAGATGCGCTGGTTTCACTTTCCGTATTAATCACCAAAATGCATGAACTCCGTTTATCTTATCATCTGCTGTCTAAGCGAATGATGCCGTTATGACTTTGTAAGTATTCGTTGTATTTTGTTTTTCAGGGTCAAGCATACTGTATTGAGCTTACGACGAAAGGATGGCGTGTCACTTCTCTGCGACATGACTGCATGAACGGTGACATCAGCCACTTGAATCTGCACACTCGATACTTTGAAACCGTCTATGCATTGATGGACTACGTTTCGCCTTGCTATCGACGACGATTTACCGATACATTATCTGATCGCTTGAAGCAGTTGCAGTGCAGTGACTCTGTCGGATGCAACAGCATTGGAGAAGACTCATTAGATCCTGAAAAGAATGTAAGTGGAGTTCTTCAGAAATTAATCTTTTATGTTTTGTTCTTCTGCAGGCATAAGTTGTTTAAATTTTTTCAAAGCCTCTAATCCATTCTTTAATGATATTCCTTTTAATCTTTCAGTTACACCGGATATACGTTTTATTGATTTAAAGCAAACTATTAGGTAGATTAAAACGAAGGCGAACTCCCTCATAAAGGAAATTGGACTTCGCGTAGTCGACAAGAGGCCGTTAACAGGAAGCATGTGCCACGCATGACGTGCTTTTTGGCCAACTGATCGTAGGGTGCCGTAGGGTAAACGGACTACCTTCGTCTTTCGCTTACATCTAACTGTCGGTTCCTATCACTTTTCATTCTTTAACCTGATTTACTCAAATTTTCATGGATGAACATATTAAAGCGCTTATGAGTTCCATTACCTGATATTATACGATAGTATTGTTGGCATGGTATGGTGTGAAGAGATTACTATCGGAATGACTTAGAGCTGGCAGAGCTCCGTGACGGATACTACTGAAAACGTGAAAATATTTTGTAATTCTGTCTATTTTCTTTTCCTAAATTTATTTTAGTGACATACTTTTATTCGTTGACAGTTGTTTATCTCTTCTAAAGTCACATTTCACTGATTAGTACCCCCTGTTTTTAGAGTTTTTAGTAAGTCGTTGAAGCAGCGCACAGCTCCATAGTATTCAAAATTGTATTTGTCGCAGTTTATTAGCTAGAGCAGTCTCTTGTTTACCATAAACGGAAGGGGTGGCGCCATACGCCGTAAAATCCACCTCAGGACAAGTTTAATACTTTTAAGCACATTCCTGTTTGCATACAAACAGTGTTTTCAATGTTTACGTATGTTACTACAAAAAATAATTCTTATAATTGCATTGCATTAATGTTTATTTATCATTTACTTTAGGGTCTAGAAATGCGATATCCCTTTTTTGCCTTTGGAGGGCAAGACAACGGCGTTACTTCTCAGTCGCCGTCTCATCTGCTCTGTTCGGACACGGATGCTATTTTAGTGGAGTCCGCTCCGATCGTTGTCAATGTTTGTCAAGCATCCCGGCTCATGACGTCTGGTAGCCACATATTCACCAGTACCCCCGCGAACGATGCCGTTTCATTCAGTTACCCGGAAGTAAATTAATCGCCCGC